CTGGGGTGAATTAGTATGGAAGCTATTCAAGCTTGCATAGGAATTATTTTTCAGTAAGTCAAAGTGATTTCATTTTTGCCTTGCCCAGCCCTGCCTACGTTAGATCTGCCCAAACTTGCTTTGGAAGTTGCGTCTTGCATAGCGAGACTCAGGAGGAGCAAATAACCCTGGGCAGGAAATGCTGGAGGAGGAAGAAGAATCTGGTGTAGTAGCAGTGTTCACCACTTAATCTCTTTTCTGTCAACTGAACTGCAGAAATACTCAGTAGAGATGTTGCTTGTTCCTGTGTACAAAACCACGTACTTTGTAGGGTGGAGTTCAGTACCTAAAGATTAAATGTAGTGTTTTCCAGGACTTTTAAACATAGGAAGCAATCTATGTCCTGCACTTATCAAAGGCATAGATCATCTTGGGTTCTGAACAAACTTATGTAATGCTGATAGCAGGGCAAAACATCTTAGATGCTGTCAGGTCATGCAATGTTTGTTGTTGATATGGTGGAGTGTGATGAAGTGAAATCATTTGAAGTATCTCTTACCGCGTCATGGCTTTTAGTAGGTTACTAAGTGGTTTTGCAATAACTGACAAAAAATTGAAATGTTTTCATACCAAAATGAAATTGCCAGGACTGAAAAATAATTTGCAGATAGCAGGAGCTCTTTAATGTCTGTTGTTTCTTCAGCCACAGCAGCTCGTTGGATATCTAAATTTCCTAAACTGTCTGCTTTATACAACTACATAGACATCTATTATTTCAAGTATGGTGCGTGGCTGTCATACACCAGGTGATTGGATCATTATGGGCACCTCTTGGTTTATGAGAAACTGATAAAGTAATCTGGCAAACAGTTCTGGGGTCAATACCAGCTGAAGCTGCCGCCGCTCGCTCTGCCCTGATGCTGCCTTCTGTGGTGTGTTACCAAATGCCTGACTGTGGCTAATTGCTTCTAAAGCTCTTGTCCCGGACGCTGGCGTGGAGTGAATGTTGTATAGCCTGGGAAGGTCAGAAAACGTGACTGTTGTCTTTTCGTAATGATCGTAAAGGGAAGAGGTTTTTGGAGGGGAGCAGTGTGTGTCGCATAGGAGTGTTAGTGGTAGAATAATTTCTTCTTTCAAGACAGGCTGTGTTAGTAGTATCAGTATCTGAAGAGTGTAATCGTGGGTGCATCTTGCTCAACTAGGTTTTTTGGGTTTTCTTTACTATGTTGCAGGTTTTCTTTAGAGCCTGTCTCAAGCCTGCTGAAGTATTGTGCGTATTAAACTACCTGCTTTACATCTCTAGTGTTCTGAACTGTCTGCCAGAAACTTAAGGTGAAGACAAAGTCGTTTGCACTGTTGCTTGCTATACTTGTGTGACTTCAGAATAATTTTTAAAAATTGCTAAATGGGAGTGAATGAGGCATTCCTCTTCATAGAGGTGTATTTCAGTAGCAACCACTAGCAGTCAAACTAGTTTAGTTTTAATGGAGGATTATAAAGATGGGGAAGCTGCTGATTCCTTTTTCTTGTACATGGGGTAAAAACTGCTGTCGTGCAGTTGACTTCCTGCAGATTGACAGGACAATCCTGCGGGTTTTCATGGTTCTTGACAAAACAGTGGTACCTATTGACCTGCTGTGGTTCAGTTCCAAATCAATTCTCCTCTTGCCTTTGTTATTTATGGTGTTCTACAGTAGAAACAGGTAAGATAGACACATGGGTATTGCCCAGTTTGTAGGATATTATCCAGTACTCTTGGGATATATTAGTATATTTAGAAGTGCAGATGCAGGTAATGGTAGTCTTCAGAGCCTTGTTTTGTTTTGGGCATGAAGTTCACAGTGACAGTTAATTTAAAATAAAAATAATGCACAGCAGTGTGCAACTTCTCACAGTTACTCGGTGCTTTGGTGCCTCTGTTTAACAGCTGTGATGCTGTATGATGAGGAGATGCCCAAATGGTTTCTATCTTAGGTGGTAACTTCACTTTCCAAGTATGTGCAAGGCCCGTACTGTCTCTTGTTTTTCCCAGGTGACATCACAAACGGTACAGTATTGTTTTGCAGTAGTCTGACCTTTTCTACTGTTTTGTTGCTCTTTTTGTTTGCTGGACAGGTGGATTGTATGAATGTGTATTAGGATTCTGGACTCTGGGAATCTACTTGCTTTCTGAGTATGAAGTGATTTTGTTTTTTTTTTTCTTTTAATTGTCTGTAGCTCCAGAAAAGGTTACCAGCAATTTAACTGCTATTTTGATAATCACGACTTACCAGAAAATGTATATTGTTTCCAGGACAACTTTGTCTCTTTTGCTGACTGGGCTTTTGGAGTGTGCTCCCACCTGTGGGCCAGGGGAGAAAAGAACAGTCTTTCCTTAGAAGCTGAAAACTGTCAGAGTGCTTAGCCCATCCCTGATGCTGAAAACATTTTCTCTAGTTAAAAAAAAAAAGACACTGAGTGAAGCAGTCAAAGAAGTTACTTTATTTGTAAGTATATAAGACACCTCAGAAGCTGTTTAATTGCTTGTCTGCTGTTAAATGTGTTTATAATAGGTGACACAAAAATAGAAGCTTGTTTTGAAATTTGGCAAGGCAGCGACATGGGAATGCAGGTGAAGTCAACAGGCTCGTTGACCCCATGTGGGTCCCCTGTTCCTTCCCAAAACTTGCCCACAAGCAGGAGAACCACTTGGATTAAATTTCTGTCCAGAAAAGTGGAGCCTAGGGGTGGGCACCTTAAAATGGACAATGTCAGCTAACACTGTTAAGGTTTGATAAACTATGAGCAACTCTTCAGTACAGCCTTACAGAGGAAGGCGCCTGAAAAGACAAAAGATAGTTCTGCAGACCTTGTGTATGTGTATTTTTATGGATGCAACTTCTTTTTCCCAGCTGATATCCGTAGCTCATAGCCTAATAACTAGTTACGGCTGTGTTTGCAGGCAGTATCAAGTTTAATGGTGCTTTTTTTTTTGTGAGCCTTTAAATTCTGGGACTAAAAATAAATTTACTGCAAGAAGTTGTTATTTGTTTTTCAAAGAACTTTGGCAGTAATGTCAGTGTTTCTTTTTCTAATAATTTCTCTGAGACCGTCCTAGTTAAAAACATCTAAATTAGCGTGTCCTTCAAGTTCCTTGCTTAATCTCATCTTTGGATGCATGAGTTGCAATCACTGGGCAAGAGTTGCTGGGTTTTTTTGTTTGGGGTTTTTTTTTTTTTTAGTTTGTTTTGGTTTTGAGAGCTTTATATACACAGTTGTCTGGATTTGCTAAGAATGGCCTTTAAACCATCAGGTGCAATATGTCTTTATGCATAAAAAAATGCAATCTTTTGACAACATCTCTTTTTGTCTCTACCAGGGTTTTACTTGTGAGCTTAAAACTATAGATGAGAGAACTTAATTACACATGCAAGGAGCAGTGATGGTTGTTAGTGCACTGGGTTATCAGCCTTTCTCCACACACTGAAAAAAAAACCCCAACAAATGTAAAACCTGTGCCTAATTAGGGAGCTAATCTGTATTCTTCAGAGAAGATCATCTCCTGCTATGCTGAGCAGTGAACCACAGACCTCTCAAACATGAAAACGGGAGAGCATTAGGCCAGTGCATGGCACATTATTTGTAGGTTCTCAAGCATGGACTGAATGGTGAAGCAAGGCTCCTCTAGAGTCACCACAGGTTGTGGGAAGTAAGTTTTTCATTTAACTGTAGTATGGCTTTGAAGAGTTCATTGCCAGATCCCTTGGCAGCTGTGACATATATCCACTACCAATATATCTGACAGATAGCTGTTATAGATTATATCTGGATCAAACCCTTCTTCTTCCCAAATTAGCTAGTATGGCTGTTAGTTCTGGTGGGGAAGAAGACATAAAGCAGTTAATTGCTAATTCTGTGGAAACATAGTCTGATCTGCATGATTCTACCCCTTCCTTTGTCAGCATTAATGCAGTTGATTTTTTTTTTCTTACATAGAGTTAATTTTTAGATGGATTAGCTCCTTGAACTTGTTTTGAATGGTGTGGTACTCTTTGTTTATCTAACTGGTAACTAAGATGTTTTCTAATTATGAAGTTAGAGCTGATGTTACGTTGAGACATAACAGTAGTTTGTGTAGATTTTTGTACCTCATGTGATAGGAAAGCCTATGGTTGTTTCAGTTTTTCTCCCTTTAAAGCAGCATTCTTGGATCTTCGCCCAAAGAAATATTCTTCTGAATTGAAATATTTGAGGAATTTTTTCTGAATGAATTTTACTGTTGAGCAAAGTCTCCAGACTTATTTTCAGCTTCTGCCTTATCTGGGTATTGATACTCCTTGATTTTTTTTTTTTTAATTAGTGGTATTATTATTATTAAAGTTTTTTTAGCACAAATCCCCAATATTGGAGCTTGGTGCTTTTTATGCATAGGTGAGAGAGGGCATTTGTTTTGACAGGCAAGAGATAACCACATCGAGTACCTGGATAGTGCTGTGTTCTGTCGGCATGCTTTAGGACAAAGTAGTAAGTGCAGAAATCTTTTTGCCTATTCACCAGACAGTGGGTGAGAATGGGACTCCTCTTCATCTCCCTGAGCTTGTGTCACCTAAACTGTACCAAGGACCACATCTCTCCAAGTAATGGCCATTTTTTTACCTTGTGTGTTGGAGGTGTGGTGCAGGAATCTTGTAACACTGTACTGTATTACTATCTCGGTTCATGAGTGTGAGTTGAAAATAGCATTTACTACTATACAAGTGTCCCTGATGTGCTGATGTGACAAGGGGTTAATGAAATTGGCAATTAGGGAACCTTGCGTAAGGAAAGAGGGACTCAAACATTAAATGGCGGGCTGTGGATTTGAGAGAACATATTAATATGCTAACATGGAAGGGGCAGAGCAGTATTTCCTGCTAAGTGTAAATTTATGACCTGCTTATCACTTCATAGGGGCTGACAGAACTTGTTCCCTAACTGTTGGAATTCACCTGTTTCATTTTCTTTCTTTCAGTGAGTACTGTGTAACCTGCTCACTGCCCAAGATGGTGAAGCTGGATATACACACACTGGCTCATCACCTCAAGCAGGAACGACTGTATGTAAACTCAGAAAAGCAACTTATCCAAAGGCTCAATGCAGATGTATTGAAGACAGCTGAAAAGCTGTACCGCACAGCATGGATTTCCAAGCAGCAAAGGATTAACTTGGACAGACTGATCATAACAAGGTGACTTGGGGGGTGGGGGTGGTCCTGGGGAGAACAAACGCCTAAGCTTCTGTGAATTGTAGCAAATCCATCAGATTTTTCACACTTAGGATCCTTTGCTATACTAATCATAAAAATAGTAAGGTTTTAAAACAAATCTAAACCAGGGAATCTGACTCACCTGAAACTTGTTGGCTGTTTAAGCTACCTTTTTTTAATATATGTGTGTGTTTTGCTTCTGTTCATAGTTTATGGGAACAAACTCTGCTTATTCCTGAAATTGCAAATCATTTGTATTAACTATATGGAAAGACTTTTTTTTTCCTTGGTGGTAGTCTTGTTAATAGATTGACCACATGGCATCTTTCATGAAGTTTGTTTGCTTAAGAGTTAATTAATGTAAATGTTTCGATGTTTTTTCTTTGAAGTTCCTGCTGAATGTTGCCAGCATGCTAAAATCTTGGAGGATACGCAGTTTGTGGATGGATATAAGCAGTTGGGATTTCAGGAGGCTGCTTACGGAGAATTCCTGAACAGATTGAGAGAGAACCCTAGGCTTATTGCATCCTGTCTGGTTGCCGGAGAGAAGCTCAACCAGGACAATACTCAGAGTGTCATTCACACAGTCTTTACCTCCATTTATGGCAATTGCATCATGCAGGAGGATGAGAGCTACCTTCTCCAGGTCCTCCGTTACTTGATTGAATTTGAACTCAAGGAAAGCGACAACCCTAGGCGGCTGTTGAGACGAGGCACCTGTGCATTCAGCATCTTATTCAAACTATTCTCTGAAGGGCTCTTTTCAGCAAAACTTTTTCTTACTGCAACTTTACATGAGCCAATCATGCAGCTTCTAGTTGAAGATGAAGACCACCTTGAAACTGATCCAAACAAGTTAATTGAGAGATTCTCTCCAGTACAACAGGGAAAGTTATTTGGAGAGAAAGGCACAGAAAAGTTCAAGCAAAGAGTCCAAGAGATGGTTGACTCCAATGAGGCCAAGCTGGTGACCTTGGTGAACAAATTCATTGGCTATCTCAAACAAAACACGTACTGTTTTCCTCACAGCTTGAGGTGGATTGTGTCTCAAATGTACAAAACGCTCTCATGTGTAGACAGGCTGGAAGTTGGGGAGGTCAGAGCAATGTGCACAGATCTTCTTCTAGCGTGTTTCATCTGTCCTGCAGTTGTTAACCCAGAACAGTATGGGATAATTTCTGATGCTCCTATAAATGAGGTGGCAAGGTTTAATCTGATGCAGGTATGATCCACTTTAAAGTAGTCTTAACAAAAAAAAAAAAAAAGTATGAGATGTTCTTTGCCTTCTTTTTTCCACTAGAACTGATGTTGTTGCAGTAAAGGTGCTGCCCCTCCTACCCAGGAGATGAATGCTAACAAAAAATCAGTGTTACCATTGCTGAAAAGGCATGCTCTAAGGTTTATCTGTTTGCTTAAAATACTGACTTTTGATCACTTTTTGATGTGTTCCTTTGTCTCTTAGAAGAGTTGCAAATGTACTTTATAAAAGCTGTTATAAGGGATGAAAGCTAAAGTGTAAAAGTGACCATGAGATGAATTCTGGAATGTGTGTAAACAGACGCTGTGCTGTTCTTGCTAATGTTAAATATTATGCCAGGTATTGCACAAAATAATGAAATAGTTTGCTGAAAAAAACTTCTTGTCTGGCAGCAATGACCACTGTTTCTGCTGGGTAGCTAGCTACTGTTTTATTAGACCTTTGAGTATTCCTCAGCCCTCATGGCAAATTTTTGTCTTTGTGCAAATACTTGGGCAATTTAGTGATAGTATGTAGATGTGTAGTCTAAGGGAATTAAGCAACACTTGTCTGACTGAGGATATTCCCCATACAAGTAAAAATACTTTTTAATGTTATCTATAAACTTGACAGCAAGTGATTCTCACGGTATGATCACTCTGAGTTTTACTCACTAGACTGTTACTGACAGGGCCTTGCCAGTGCTTTTGTAACATACGTTAGCAATCCTTTCTTGTGTCACTGCTTGTGTGTTGTAGCAGAGCTTGCAGTTGACGGCTCTTTAAAATGGAGAGTTGTTTTGCAATTGGGGATTAATAAGGAATATATGCTCTGAAACAAGGTTTATCCCTCTTGCGCTTTTCTTCCCTCCAACATTTTCTTGGTAAAATATATACAGCCTTTTAAAATCTCTAGGTTTAAGATGACCTGCATTCAGCTCTCAATTCTGATGTGTTTTGAAAACAAAACATGCTTTGTTCCTGGTAAGGGGGAGAAGTATGGATGCTCATAGCATTCTGTGTGTGCAGATTTTCTTGTTAAATGCAATGACTGCTTTTTTTTCTAAAGCTTTTTGCATTTTTTTTTTCCACCCCAAAAGCAAGTACAAGTCTCTTCCTGCTCAATCAGAAGTACTTCCTGGAGTATTAAACGAAGAAAAATTTAGAGTGGACGAGTTTTCTTAACTATTTTTTTATATTCAGGTCCATCATGGTGATGTTTTAAAATGCTTATTCTTCATACTTCTTTTTCATTTCAGGTTGGGAGACTTCTGCAGCAATTGGCAATGACAGGTTCTGAAGAGGGAGATCCACATATGAAGAGCAACCTTGCTAAATTTGACAAAGTAAGAATCCAGACTAAAAAAAAAGCTAAGACTCATGTGTATACCTCATCCTTCTGAAGTCTCTTTTTCCAGGCATTCCAAAGGACTTTCTAAGCAGTTAACTCCCAAGTTACATGTACTGAAAAGCAGATTAAATACTGCACAAAGCTGGGAACAAAATCTTGAGTACTAGAATTAAGGGTCGGGGATTCTTGCTTCTACTCTGACATAGTACATCTTAAAAAAAAGCACAAAAGAGAAATAAAAGCAAGTTACCTTTTAAACTGAAATGCTGAATTACTGTCTGTGGTTTTTCTGCTGAACCTAACGAAAACACTTTGATCTGAAGACAACTTTTGCATGAAATCTGGTTTAACACCAAGTAATTCGTTAGTGCAAGTAACTTCTGTTCCTTTTTTGTGTAGTCTTGCTTTTTTCGTTCAGTTTTCCTCTGTTAGTATGAATCATCCATAGCAATACTGAAATTAGCTTCATCAGAAGAACAGTGAAACTAATGATCTTTGTTGTATTGTCATATGTTTAAAAAACTGTTAATTAGCTTGTTTTTGCTAGTTTTAATTGTTACACAGTCATCAGTCACACATACTTTATAAAAGTAACATTCAATCAGATTAGAAAGAGATACTGTGTGTTGCTTCCTTGTTTTACTTCTAGTCTGTGCTCAGCAGATTCTTCAGGAAGGGGCAGTTTAATTGCCATAAAACCATTTAAATTTTTTTTTTAAATTGTAAGAAGACACTTAAGTAAGTAACATTTTTGAATGCAGAAGAGGAATGAAGGAAATGCTAAAACTTAACTGCATGCTTTCCTTGCTTGCTCTTCAGTGAATTTAATGATATGTGGTATTTTATCCTAAGATTTTAAAAGTGGGAAGCAAAACTTCTATTGTAGTGTAAACTACTAAAGTCTTGTGGTAAGTTATGTTCTTTCCAAACTCTAGTAAATGGTCTCTCATTTAAAAACTATTTCTTCTCTTTGCAGAGCTGTGTGGCTGCTTTCCTGGATGTAGTTATTGATGGGCGTGCAGTTGAAACTCCTCCAATGTCTTCTGTTAACCTCCTGGAGGGGTTGAGTAGAACAGTGGTTTACATGACATATAGCCAGCTAACTACTCTGGTAATATATTAAGTTCTTAAAAAGAAGTAGTGTAAACTTGTCCCCCTGTGTTTACAGATAGGATGAACAAGGCTGATAATTGATGCTGCAATTCTTACCAAAACTAAGTCTAAATTTTTAGGTTGGCTTTATGCGGAATGTAATGTCAAGTGATCAACTTAAGGAAGATCGGATGGCTTTGGAAAACTTGCTGGCAAACTTACCCCAGAACAAACCAGGGAAAAGCAGCAGCCTTGAAATGACTCCGTATAATACCCCACAACTTTCTCCTGCAACTACTCCAGCTAACAAAAAAAATCGATTACCAATAGGTAAGGAGAGCAAGCAGACTTCTTGCATGATTTCCAATACCTTGATACATTTTCTGTGCCATTTTTTCAGTCATCTCTTGGGGTTACTCTTTGACTACACTTTCAGTTCCTACTTCTTCTGTGTAGATGGTGAAGAATTTTCTTTTGCGTAGAAAGACAGGTAACTTCCTTACTTTCTGATACAAGTATGGTGAGCTTTGTCACTCTGGATTGAACTTGAGCAAAATGCTGGAGTGGTTGATAGTCACACTAGTGCAATGATAATAAAGGGAAAGCTTGAAGGTGGGAAGCAGATCTAGGGGGGAAGATGGCTTAGGAAAGTGGTAAGGTGGAAGTGCTGACATTTAATTAGTGGGAGAGAATAAGTTAAATTTTTTTGTGTCTGAGGAAAGAGCAAATGCGGAGGAGGATGAAAAAGCAAGAGCAGAGCTTTTAGAGTATGTGCTGAGAAGAGAAGCTTTCTTCTTTCTCCATTATTTGCTCGGTCTAATTCCGATTGTTAGTATATTGTAATGCAATTTTATGTTTGTTGGATTTTTGTCCTTCTTTTGAATAGGATTTCTGGGTCTTGAACTTTTCAATTTCAATAATATTTTCTCTTTAAAATAAGAAGTGTGGTCCTGTATATTTACAGGGATGATCACATGGGATATTTTTGTTTGAGAGATTTGGTGTTAGTGTGTAACAGGATGAAAACATAGAGCCCAATAAGTGGCAGAAAAACACACAAAACCAACCCCAAAACAAACCTGTCCCATGTTGTTTTAACTCTACTTCTCAATGGTTCTGGTCTTATGCCTATAAAGTAGTGGCACAACAGGATTTGTTTTATGATATAACATAGTTTTTGCTCAAAAGTTTTTGTTTCTTTTGTTTCATTTTAATGCTTTCGAAATCCAGGACAGCAATTGGCAGCCATTACTGCCTGGGATACTTCTACCAATCTTTCAGCTCATATAACTCTAGTAACCCCTTTTGGTGGGTAATGCCCTCTTTCCATTCTTCTGTGAAACTTTTACTTACGGCTTAAGCATGCCTTTGGCAATCAGTTCCTCTTTCAGATTTCTTCATTGATTTCTATATGAAACTCATTTCGTATGTAGATGTAGTTTTTTAAAAACACTTTGTGTGATAATCAGAATTTAGCTGTGACTTCTGCACGCCTACATTAATTAAACAGAGTTATAAACTGCAGGAACCTAGACCTTTTCTTGTTGGTAACAAACTTACTCGTTTTCTCACATAATTTTCTCAGGGTCTTTCTGTGATTGGAGTGCACTGGACTTGTGTAGGCAAACAGGACATAGTATATCTTGTTTCTTTAAATTTTCATGTTGAAAGTTTGCTTTTTCACAATTCAGTACTCAAATTTAAACACTAGTTCCCTCTCTCAATGTGTAATATGACTTCTCATTCTGCAAATGAATTTAGTATGTGTATTATCAATTCAAAACATTGCCATTAGATATTTCTGTTGTATTGTCTTTTTTTTCCTTCTTAAACAAGGAAAAGCTTTCTAATGTTGATATTTCAAAATATTTTCTTAGCAACACGTAGCAGAAGTAGATCAAATCTTCTACTGGATCAGCATGGAGATCATGAAGGATCCTCCCAGGAGACTATCCCAGAAGTTCAGCCAGAAGAAGTGCTGGTGATTTCTTTGGGGACAGGTCCACAGATTACTCCAGGAATGATGTCAGAAAATGAGGTATGCAAAAACTGTCACATCTCAGATATTTTGAAAAGTACAACTTCTGTGTTCTCTAATAGCAGAACAAGAAGTTGTGACACGATGTTCAGGTAATAAATCCAGAGTGCGAATTAAAATCCTTTCTTCATTTTACCGAACTTGGGGGTTCAGCTTTCAAATTTCTCTTTGTTAGATTTTTTTTTTCCTCACTTAGTATATCTGCAAGGTGTGAAAAGCAGCATATTAACACAGGAAAAATGAACCTGGCAGATTTATGGAGAAGCTTTGTCATCTAGCATACTTAAGAGCAAACTCGGATTATTGTTTCTGAGCTTGAAGAAATTGATTCATTTCTCCCTCTGCATGCTCTGTCCTTTGGATCAAGTGGCACAGGCGAATGATAGAACTGGAACTCTGATCCCAACATTTTTGGCAGCTCAGACTTGAAACGCCCAGGCCCAGCTTCTTGTGAGGGTGGAGCTGTGGTCATGTTGCCATGAATGCCTTCAGACTGTATTGCTTAGGGTAAGGCTGGTTTTACAGCCTTTTCTTTCACCAGCCATAGCACAGCTTCTGCTTTCATCTTTGCTGCCTTGCCTGATAGTTCAGATTATCTCCTTCTGCAGCCTCATAACGATCGGTTTCTGTGTTAAATTAGCCTTCTGGGGTGATGAGGTGACTCCACTATTATCAGGACTTGCCTTATGTTCACATCTTCGTTACCTTACATTCTCTCCAGGCTCTGACTTTGGAGATAGCTGTCTTTTTTTCAAATGGAATGTTAGAAATTTCACTGTGCCATTAACATCTAGGGAAAACAATGCAAAAAATGCGTGCAGTGTTTTGTTTTCTATTTAATTATCAGAAAAATAGATTATTTTAAGGAAGTCTTGTTTCTTTCCCCCATTCTCCAGGTCTTAAATATGCAGCTTGCAGATGGTGGACAAGGAGATGTCCCCGTTGATGAAAACAAACTCCATGGTAAACCTGATAAAACCTTGCGCTTTTCCCTCTGCAGTGATAATCTGGAAGGAATATCTGAAGGTGAAGGGCTACTTAAGTCTTGAAGAAGTTTTGTCCCTTTTTTTTTTTTCCCTTAACTATAAAAGGAACTTCTGTTAAATACAGCATGTCATCTTTGCCATTTTGAAGACTGTGCTATCTTACCCTGAGAGCCTGTCTTTTCTTTTAGCCATTGTAAGAAGAAAGTCTGGAGCTAAATTTTGACCTGCAAAGGCATAAATGAGTCTGAGAATTAGGAAGAAAAAAAAACTAAGTGTGTTTAGGAGAAAACAAAGCGATTTTTTTTTTTTTTTTTTTTTTTTTTTACTGAAGTGCAGTACTAATTATTAAGATAATCTAATTTAGCTCTAAACTTAGACTTCTCAGGCATGTTTTTCAACATGTTTTAATAAACTATTACATATCTCAGGCTAGTTTCTGGACTTTGGACAGTTCCTTTATATGAACCTCAGACACAACAAAGCACAGGTTTATTTGTGATATTGCAGGTGTTCGTACAGATCACTCAGCATGCATTATTTTGTGAAACTTCCATAATTTAGTTTTTGCTTGCTCTCTCAAAATAAGAAAACAAATTCATGGACAAGTAAACAAATTAATGGCAAAGACTCTATTGACTTTTTAGTTACAGTTAAGTATGGTAATGGTGAGATTACACACGTTTCTTGTAATTTATTTGTAGATTGTTATAATCAGTATAGTACTCTAAACATGGGAAGTAAAAATCACAGTGCGGGTTAAGTATCTATAGAATTAGGATCAAGAGTAGAGCAAATGTACTTTTAGTTCACCAATTCAGTGTTTTATGTTGGAACTGCTACTTCATTTCTCTTCATCTTTCTAGTTAATTGTGTCCTGGATTGTTAGGGCTGTGTATTTAGGAAATGTGGTTCAAATTAGATTTACAGTAAAATCTGTTTTCACAGGTCCTTCAAATCGCTCCAACTCTGTGTCATCTTTGGATTTAGAAGGGGAGTCTGTGTCAGAGCTTGGCACGGGCCCCTCCGGGAGCAATGGCGTTGAAGCTCTGCAGCTGTTAGAGCATGAACAAGGCAGGTGCAAAGTTTCCAATACAAGTGCCGGAGGTGCTGTAGATGGTAAAGCCAAAGTTCTGTGGAAAAAGGTTGGAAAACTGACTAGTTCAGGAAAAAATAAGTAAAAAGTTTTCCCTGTGCAATTACTCTTTTTCCGTAGAAATATTTCTTGTAGTCCATTGTTAGGAAAAGGAAATTGCATGGGAATTTGAGGCTTAAGTCCTTTACAGGAAACTGCTTGTAAAGTTTTGCTTGATTCCAAATTTTTCCCTTCAGGGAATAGGGTGATCTGAATTGGAGTAGTCTGAAAGCATCTGGATAGCTTCCTGTTTAATATGTATTTGTCAAACACTGGAACAGGTTGCCCAAAGAGATTGTAGTGTCTCCAGCCTTGGAGATACTCAAAACATGGCTGGACATGACCATGAGCAACCTGCTGTAATTGACCCTGTTTTGAGCAGGGGGGTTGGACTTGAATGATCTCTGGAGGTCCCTTCTAGCCTCAGCTTTTCTGTGATGAGTTTTTCTTACAGGAATTGCATCGGTTTCTGGATGGTGTGCTAAATTTTATTCATTTTATTTGTCAGTTTGGTTGATAGGTCACCATGTGTAGTTTAAGATTTTTCTTATGTCTCAAATGTGCTTAAAAACTGTTTTCAGGCAGCATCTCTTGAATGGTATGATAGTGTTTTACAGGTCTTACTATAAAACCCTGTCTTACCTGACAGAATTAAAGGGTTGTTTTGTTTTGGGCTTTGTTTCCTATTTTCAAGCAGAAGGAATTGGAGAAGCCTTTTAATGAAATGAGAACTTTTATTTTTACATAGCCACAACTCAGGATAATCTTGATGACAAGCTCCGTAAATTTGAAATCCGTGATATGATGGGGTTGACTGATGACAGAGATATATCAGAAACTGTGAGTGAAACTTGGAGTACAGATGTCTTGGGAAGTGACTTTGATCCAAATATTGATGAAGATCGTTTGCAAGAAATAGCAGGTAACTTAGTGGTACATGTGGTACGTTAAAATGCTTCGTGCTCGCTCTAAAATAGCGAGGCTGCAGAGCCCTCCTCCTCCCTTTCTAAATAGGTGTGTTTTGATTGATTAAACTGGAGCTTTTCTGTAGGAGGATGTTGCATGCATGACCTGTATTATATTTGGTTGCTGGTTTCTGTCTTTTCAACGTTGTCTTTCATGAGTACTTTATTAAGGACACTTAAAATGTGCTTATTTTTCTCTCTTATTAGAGCTGTCTTCGGGAATCCTATATCTAGCTATACGCTTCATCTTTACTTTTGCAGGTGCAGCTGCAGAGAACATGCTAGGCAGCTTGCTGTGTTTACCAGGTTCAGGATCCGTGTTGCTTGATCCCTGCACAGGTTCAACCATATCAGAAACCACAAGTGAGGCGTGGAGTGTGGAAGTATTGCCAAGTGATTCAGGTCAGAATCATGCAGGTTTTGCTTATTTCTTTAGCATGAATCAAGACTTTTCCAGAAGCATATAATGCAAAACAACAGCCTCTTCCTCTTTTTCTTTGATAAATTACTGTCCTAGGGTTAAGTTAGTGTTTGTGAATATTTCCAATATTAAAACGACAAACAGTTCCGAAGCAGAGAGACGATGGAAAGCATTGTGAGAGACTTACTGTTACTTTAAGAAATTCTTAACTTCTGCTTTCTTCAGTTCACACTTCTGTTTGCTTTCCTTCCCTGTGATGTTAAGTAGGGCTATCTAGGATCATAGTTTAACTTTTTGGCTAGTGAAGATTTGACTGTATACTGTGTCTCTAAGAAATACAATACTTAAAACAATAAAAACCTAGAAAGCCTGTGCAGCTAGAGCATTGTTATCTGTGCAGAGTCCTGCCTTCTGTATAGGGAGAA